AAAAAAAAAAAAAGGACCTTGAAGTCATACACATCTAGGTTTGAATAAGTCACCTGACCTAGGCAAACTACTTAACCTCATCTTATAAAGGAATAAGATCATAGGATGATTATAAATAAGATCATAGGATGATTATAAAAACTATATGAGTTAATGAAAGTAACCTGATTCACAAGTGCCTAATACTACGGTAGTAGTATTATTGTTCTTACAAACTGATACATTAAAATAAAAGAAATAAAATTAAAATTTTTTAAAAAGTGACTCATTTAAAAATTTTTATTCTGGAGATCTAACAAACTCTGTAGAAGGCAGCTTTAGAATTTACCTGTCACTGATAGAAACCAGAAAGTCTTTCGGAGTAGAAGAAAACAATTCATAATTTGCAATATCAAGCTGTTTTACTTGAATTGGTTCACAAAGTTCAATAACAAACCTTAAAAAAGAACACAAGACAATTATTGAGATAAACCAACCAAAATAACAGTTCATATGAAACATAAAGAGTTTGCATAAAATAGAGTTTCACTAAGTTACTCATTATTTCTCTAGCATATCATTAGTTGGGGGGGTGGGGTAACTATAAATAACACAAGATATTTATATTGACTATAAATAACACAAGATATTGATAACAATATTTCAATGACAAAGCACATTCTTGGAGAAGGAATGACTTCACAAAGGACAGTTAGTAATAGTGTCAACTGACTAGTCTAGATGGCAGTTTGGCATATATGTGGCTTCAAAGGGTAACACAGCCTTTGATCTAGCAATACACTTTTATTTTTTTTTTTTAATTTTTTTTTTTTCATTTTTGGGACAGAGAGAGACAGAGCATGAACGGGGGAGGGGCAGAGAGAGAGGGAGACACAGAATCGGAAACAGGCTCCAGGCTCTGAGCCATCAGCCCAGAGCCTGATGCGGGGCTCGAACTCACGGACCGCGAGATCGTGACCTGGCTGAAGTCGGACGCTTAACCGACTGCGCCACCCAGGCGCCCCTATCCTTGTCTTTTAAAGACACCATTTAAAATTCTTGATTGATTGATTGATTGATTAAGGTATAATTAACATAGAATGTTGTATTGGTTTCAGGTGTGCAACATATTGATTCAATAATTCTATACATTAAATATACCATTTTTAATGAATAGTTTAAATTTTCCCCCCACTAGGGGTATTTATTAATTCCATAAGTACTTTGAGTGTCCCCAATGTGACATGTAGAATGCTATTCATTTAAACATTCTTCTGTAGTTGACCATTAGTGGTTTTATTTTCCATGCTGTTTCTTCTCCCATCTCACACTCAGCACTGCATATATACAGTTATTGAAGTTAATTCTCAAGACCTTTTGAATTCCAACCATTTTTCATATAATAACCTTGTTCTGATCCCTTCTTTTCTCCAAGCTATAATTTTAAGAGCATTCATTACTTGGAGGGATTTTTAAAATGCTGTAATAATAAAAAATAATACCTGTAGGCTTTTATGTTAGATTTCCTTTTAAAGAGGGGGAACAGCTATGTAAGATCTGTGAAATTCCAATCTAATGGTAAAGGATTTTTTCTGATTCCCTTTCCACCAGTACTTTTACTTAGACTTTATATCATCACATACGTTTCAGTACGTGAAAAGTAGAACCTCCTTCTTCAAAATAATCTCTTGGTTACTCTTTATTTTAAAACCTCCATTGTACTTGGATAGAAGCCCAACAAACAGTTTTGGTTCTACCTTGTCTTCTCCTTTTCTTGCTTTCTGTAATGGTGTGATTTTTAAGATACTCTTCCCTTGTAAAGAGGAATCTGTCAGAGTTTAGTTGGAAAAGGAAATGTATTTATTCAACCCAATATTTTACTCATATTTAAACTATGTTAAGTGAGATGTTCACCCAGAGAGGGGAAAAAAAGCCAAACAGGATGTATTTTGAAGATGTGATGGAACTCTCAATATGTGGTTTATGATTTTTTTAAAAAAATGTTTCTGTTTCCTAGATATCCCACAAATAAGTGGATTAAGCTGGGTACTTTCCATGGAAGAGATGAGAGGAATGTCCAGAGTTTCCCTTTGGATGAACAGATGTATGCAAAATACGTGAAGGTAAAGTTTATACATACAGGACTATGTTTTTTAATGAAAACATACCTATTATTTATACTTCTTTGCTCCTCACCCCACCTTTTTAGAAATCATAAAACTTAAGAGGAAATTTAATGCAATATTCTTTTTGATAAAATTCTTACATGGATGTTATTTTATGAGACAAATATTAATACATTCCCTTTTGTATACCTGGAAACTTAGGCCAGTTTTTTGATATTTGCAGCTCTGATGAAATTTAAAATTGTATCAATATTTTTTTTGAGTCTTTATGTAAAATGTCATCTTCATAGTATCATATCTTTATTTTTGAGAGTGTGTGTGTGAGAGAGAGAGGGAGATACAGAATCCAAAGTAGGCTTCAGGCTCTGAGCTGTCCACACAGAGCCTGATGTGGGGCTTGAACTCACGAACTGTGAGATCATGACCTGAGCCGAAGTTGGATGCTTAACCAGGCACCCTATAGTATCATATCTTTATTTCAAAGCCCAGATTATTGTTAGTCACTGAAGTCTTTAAGCAGGTCTGATTTTCTTTTTTAGAATCTGATTCTTAGATTATTTTAATTTTAATATTATAACTTTTGCCTTTTTTATTGTATATTCAAGTGAACTATTCTGTGTCCAAATGCCAATTTTAAATAAACTTTTAAAAACACTTATATTCAGTATTCTTGCTGCTTCTTCCACAATGTAGAGGTGGAAATCTCTACCAAATAGAATTCTCACTTTTGAATTGGATTTTAGGCAAACTATGGGAATTTCTTATACCTCTCTTCCTCTCTTTTTTTTTCCTTAAAATAATAGCACACCTTAAAGTACCATTGTGTTTGTAATATGACCTTTTGGAATGACAGCAGCTCTAATTTCTGTCTTTTCTTCTTTAAATGTGTATCTTTTTTAAGCATGTATTAAATTGGCTTCTATGAATGGGTAAACTTGTAGTATTCCTAGTCTCAATCTAAAAATGCTAAATTCTGTTTTTAAAATATAGTTAATAAATAGTTCAACAGTGTTCAGAAAAATGAAGTTATATTTTCAGTTTCTTTTAAAGTGAATTCTGAAATAATTGTTTAATGGCCTTTTTCTATACTAGGAAAAGGAAATGGCCAGTTTTTATACTAGGAAAAGGAAAAATTGTAAGAATTATTTGGCAGGTGATACAATTGCATTTAATTTTATAATTAAGACAATGCACATGTTATGAAATAGTTCCAAGAATCATTCTTCATACCAACTACTTTATTAATAATGGCAGAACATTTTATTGGTGGTAAAAAAAAATGCCAGCCCCTACTTTGTGTTTTTTATGGTGGGACACTATGGAGCATTTTGATGATTAGCTGTCTAAAATGCTCTTTTTGGTAGTAGTCTAAAAGCAAAAAACATTTAATTCTAAGTCCAATGTTAACAAATATTATGTAAGTTTACCTGGGTTTTCCTTATCCCCAAATAAACCCAGATGTACAAACTACTTTTTAATAGTTTGTATTTTAACAGTGGGTTGATACATATCTTTTAGTTCTGTAAGTTATACTTGAAATAACATAGCATATGAAAAATTCATGCTTTCCCTAAAAAAATTTGTATATGGTATTATATAAGAATAAATATTATTTTGTATTATGCTAATATTTTTATCATTATGTATGTATATGTGTATAGCCACATATGTATCAGTATATAAATAATATACAGATACATATATGATACGTATCTATAATTTTGAATTAATATAAGACACAGGCTGTTTCTAGATCCTCTTTATTACTTTTATGTATTTTTTTAAGTTTATTTATTTTTGAGAGAGAGATAGAGGGAAGGAGAGAAGGAGGGGCAGAGAGAGAGAGAGAGAGAGAGAGAGAGAGAGAGAGAATCCCAAACAGGCTCCATGCTATCCGCACAGAGCGCCATGTGGGGCTGGATCCCACAAACTATGAAATCATGACCTGAGCCTTATTCAAGAGTTGGATGCTTAACCAATTTGAGCCACCCAGACTCCTCTCTTTATTACTTTTAGAATGCTTTTATTTCTGACAGAGAAATAAAACAGCAGCAATGAATTTTAGCTTAAGCAACATAACCTTAAATTTAATTTAGTTCATTACAGTTCAATTATACTTTCTAGTTGTGATGGTAAGAATTTAAATCATTGATTTGATTTCTGCAGAGAAATAAGAGTACTACAATGTTATCCATTACAGTACATTGCTTTCTATACTTTAATTATACAGTATAATTTACAAATATTAAATGTTGCTTATGGCATGTTATCCAGACTTTGGAACTGATTTCTTTTTCTTTTCCTTTCTCTTGCTTCAGATGTTCATCAAGTACATAAAGGTTAGCAACCTTCTCTTTTGCAATATTGAATAACAAGGCATGGCATACTACTGCATGGCAAAAAAGCAAAATTTTACCATTATTGATTTTTGGGGAAATGAGGACTGTATTTTTAGAAATGTTATAATGAAAGAAACTGAATACATTGCTAGATAATCTCACATGCACTGTGCTTTTATTCTTTAGGTGGAGTTGGTATCACATTTTGGATCAGAGCACTTTTGTCCATTAAGCCTTATAAGGTATTAAAGAACAACATACATTTACTAAGTGATTAAAAAAAGAAAGTGATACACAAAAATCCCAGTATATTTAGAGTGAAGAAATAATTTCCTATCTTGTGAAGTTAATACTATAGAAATATAAGCTGTTAAACCTTTCTTGTTCCTAAATCCATTTTAGAAAAATGTAAAAATTTGCTCTGAGAAAAAATAACTATTATATGTGTCTGGCTTAGCTTGCTTGCTATTTTGCTATGATGATAATATATGGAAAATCTTAGACTGATATCAAAACTGGTCATTACATTTTTAAATGTCTTAAAAGCATTTTAATGGACACAGTGGATGGATGACTACAGTGTAAGAAACAGCCATTATTTTGAAGTCTAAAAGCTAATGACCCTCAAAAAATGACCAAAGTTAATGTATTTTGTCATTTGTAATGAAGAGATGAGTCTTAACTCTGTTTTGTTTTGAAAGTCTTTAATGAAATTGTTGTTAATAGGGTATTTGGCACCAGCATGGTGGAAGAATATGAAGAGATCGCTGATTCCCAGTATCAGTCAGAACGTCAAGAACTGTTTGATGAAGACTATGGTAAGTGGCTTTAAGACATGTGACTATTATGTATGGTTTTTTTGTTTGTTTTTTAAAATCTAATAACCTGAAGGGGTAGGACAAGGTTTTTTGACACCCTCCATTTCTACTTTATCAAGTCCTTGTGTTTTGCTTTTTTCTTTTTTTTAATGTTTATTTTAGAGAGAGAGAGAGTGCAAGCAAAGGAAAGGCAGAGAGAGACGGAGACACAGAATCCAAAGCGGGCTCCAGGCTCTGAGCTGTCAGCACAGAGCCGACGCAAGGCTCAAACTCATGAACTGCAAGGTCATGACCTGAGCTGAAGTCGATGCTAAACCACCTGAGCCACCCAGGAGCCCCAAGTCCTTGTTTTAAGATGTCTTAAACCATAGTCTGAAAAACTGAATTTTTCCCTTCCCTAATTTTCCTATAAGCAAAATGAAAACATTTACTAAGGGTTGGTAAAGTACATGGAAAGCTTGAATAAAAAGTCTTATAAATGTGATTAAAATTTTGGTAAGCAGTGGAATTATTTTCCTTAGTTTACATCTGTTTGATAAATGGCTTCTGAATCTCATAAACTTTTTGTGAATATATTTTAGATTATAGTGAATATTTATAATAAAATATGCTTTAAATGTCAGCCGACTTTGATAGGGATAGTTTTAGTTAATTACCTTCATTTTCTCTTTAAACAGATTATCCACTGGATTATAATACTGGGGAGGATAAATCCACAAAAAATCTTTTTGGTTCTGCTACAAGTGAGTATTTGGGGATTTTCCTAGACACTACTAAAGTATTTCCCAACTTTTTTTTCCCCTGAAATATGTGGATATTTTGTTGTGGTATAGTTTAGGAAGCTCCTAGTCCCAATATTGAACTTGAGTTGAAATCAAAGATACTGCCTTTGAAATATATTTCCATAGAAATAAAATAAGCGTGGATGAAAAGAAAGAGAAGAGAAAAAAAATGCAAGCACAAGTTGTTTCTTCTACCCTAAGTGCTTATGTTGATAAGCAGATTCCTTGGAAGAATGGGCTGTGAATTTATGGGGGGAAAGAATTATTAAAGAGATCCTAGACCATATGCATAGAAGCATCTGGATAGTCATGCTAGATGGGAAGGGAATTTGAATGGTAGTTGCAGAGGTAGTATGTGTGAGTGAAATCCTAGCAAACAAGGGTTTATCTATCTATGGATATAGTTTCTGATGTAATTACAAAATATAAAAGCTGTTCTTACTCATAATAATAAAGATTCTCAAGCAGTAACAATAATAGTAATAATAATATACTCTTTGTAAACTGAAGAAATAATGACTAAGATATATTAGTGCTTCAGTTTTTGTCATGCCTGCCTAGTGGTAGGCTAGCTAAGGAGACTCTCGGAAAGACCATTACCAACTGACACTTTATTTTTACTGTTATAATGCAGGTAGGTATATTTTAATGCTTGTTATTTTTGGCTATTCCTGAAGAATATAAAATACTGGAAGGAGTTTTCTTTTTATTTGGAGATTAATATGGTAAAAGTAAATCTTAGCAGAATAGATGACTAGTTTCTTGTGCATTTCCCTTGTTGCTCTTAGTAAGTAGAGTTCCTTGCATCCCAATCTTATGGTGTATGTTGTCTTTATACCTTTTGGGATACTCAACCAGTAGTTTATATACTTAGATATTTTGTATAGCTCCAGTATAGGAAGCTAGGAGTCACGTCGGTTTTTTTGTTTTGTTTTTATCTTTTTTCTTCTCCCTTCTTCCCCTTATGCTCTCCATAGAAAACTGTAGTCTTCAGTAGACTTTTTTTTTTTAATTTTTTTTTTCAACGTTTATTTATTTTTGGGACAGAGAGAGACAGAGCATGAACGGGAGAGGGGCATCAGCCCAGAGCCTGATGCGGGGCTCGAACTCATGGACCGCGAGATCGTGACCTGGCTGAAGTCGGACGCTTAACCGACTGCGCCACCCAGGCGCCCCTTCAGTAGACTTTTTAAGGCATAGGAAGAAGAATGTTAAAAATACTTGCATAAGAGGAATCCTTTTTTTTTTTTTTTTTTAATTTTTTTAATGTTTATTTTTGAGACAGAGAGAGACAGAGCATGAACAGGGGAGGGTCAGAGAGAGGGAGACACAGAATCTGAAACAGGCTCCAGGCTCTGGGCTGTCAGCACAGAGCCCAATGCGGGGCTTGAACTTACTGACCGCGAGATCATGACCTGACCTGAAGTCGGACGCTTAACCGACTGAGCCACCCAGGAGCCCCAAGAGGAATCCTTTTATGTAGTACTTAACTTTGTTGCATATTAACTCAATATAATTTTTTTTCACTCTACTGCTAGTCAATTGACTTTCTAGATATTAGAAACTACTTTTAAGTAGAAAACTTAGCTATCTAGTTGATGATGGAATTAAAAATAGGTGCTTCATTCACTGCTGTGGGACATAGTTTTTTAGGAGTGAAAAACATGATGTTGTTTTATCTATGTGGATATTCATATTCATGTCCTTAAATCCATGTGAAAATTCTGATATGTAGTAATCATCATAGCTCAGTGATGCTATATTAGCTATGAGGCAGCGTTATTATTTTATAGAGTCAGAAAATAGCCCCAGACTGAAAGATCTCTCGCTTCTGATGGTTACTGGAAAGGAAAGGGGCACCTTACCATAGTATTAGATAAAGGAAATCTTGTTGATATTCTTGGTTTCTTTTTCTATATTCTTAGGGGATTAACTGCTAGACACCATTAAAGCCCAGTTATATTTCAATGGAGGACATTTCCCTATTTGTAATCACTTCTCTGACCAAGGTATTATTTGAATTAATTAGATATAGAATCTTCTTTATTTATATCCTACTTTGGGATCTTCTTCCTTGAAGATGTGTTTCTTGGTAACATATTTAGTTTTCTTTTTATGGATCTCTGGAAAGGTAGTCTATTTACCTTCCCGTGTTCTAGTGTTAAAAGAATTTGTTTAGTGAGACAAGATGGGTGGGAGGATGTCAGCTAAGCCTAAACACAGAAAATGGAGTTTAAAAAGATGTCCATCTCTTGATGTTTCAGAAAAAAGAGAGGCAATAGTACCTGACTGATAAGACTTTGGTGTCATAAAGCTTATAGACATGACCTAACACTGCTGTCGTCTATATCTGTTCTTCCTAGTTTTCTGTGAAGAGTCTGGGACTATTTCTGAGCCTGACTTTGCTACTACCTCCAAGGTGGTATAACATTTAAGGAGTAAATAACAGAATGGAATCAGGCCAAAGAGCTAGTCTCTGGCACTAGAATATCTGAATTTAACTGTTCTCATCACACGTTGTGAATTAGCTTGAAGTTGGCCAATTTTGAACCTGACTTACTTTTTATATTTACATAGCGTCTCCAAAACAGAATTCTGTGGCTTTAATCTTAATAGAAACTCCTTTTTCCTTTCGGTATTGAACAGTTAGTTAGTAGTTACAGGAAATACATGTCACCAGAGTACATTGCATCTATTAGGACTTGGTTATCAAAGAACATACATACCATATATTTGGACATTCTTGATATAATTTTCTTAATTGCCAAAAAGGGAGAAACTACTATGTTAGAGCAACATTCTTGATTTTGTGTATATGCCGGCTAGGCAGCTCTTCTGCCTGATTCTTTTATTTACATTTTTGAACCAGAGCATTTAAATATTTTACATCAACAAAAATTCTTCACATTACTCTGCTTTTTTTGTATTTTGTCACATGGATTTTCCAGACCACTCCCTACTTTAATATTCTTGCAAGTCTGCCTTTACTCCTAAATACGGTCTGCATTTTGTTAGAATCACTTAAAGGCCAGGTTTCTGTGTGTATGTTTAAGATAGTATACAGTTTTTGGTTTCTTTTACATCAAAGTATTTTTATGAATGTATATATTTTAAGGACCTAGCAAGAGAAGAGAGAACAAAGGTGGACATGCAGCAGAGGTATCTGAATTCACATGGGAGGAAATAGTTATTTTGTTGGTTTGTCTTGTTATGTGGTATCATAGATAGCTTGTTTCCTGCATCCAAAAGAGCCAGAGTGTGCTGGAGACTAAGGATAACATGTTGATGATCCCTGGGAGAATTTCATTCCTGAGGGAATGAGATTGGATGAATAGTGCCCAGCTCAAAGATAAAGGAGTTGGCTAATCTGGGAGACATTAAAGACAGGTATCTAGTTTGGTACTGTATTCCAAATTATTACTTTAGCCTATTCTGAAGGATTTTTAGTGGTCAGATGATCATTGTGACAAGCTGTCACGTGTTTGGATACAAATTGGGAGTGGTCAGAATTGAATATTCAAATTGAATATTCAAAGCTGCTTTCTCTCAGAAGACAAAGTAAGACTACATTTGGCAGTGTTCTGTGAATGTAGCAAAATTATTTCTTATGGATTGGATGGGCTGAGAATGTAGAAATTTGCCAAATTTTGCTTTTGTTAATGAATTCTGTAACAATAAATGCCCCCAAATTTCAGTGCCCCCAAAATTTTGTATCTGAGTTAAGATTGATTTTAGAGTATAGATTTGACTCCAAAATTTGGAATGTGTGAAGCAGTCAGTTTTAACTGAACTTTGGCTGGCAGACCAAGTAGAAGATCAGATACTATTGCAATATTGGTTGATATTAAAAGTGGGTTTATGAGGAAATAACAAGAGTTTCCATTCCTCCTTTATCTTGGTTTGTGAGGAAATGTGGTGTTTCCATTCCTGGGTGGTTTTTTTTTTAAGTTTTTATTTAAATTCCAGTTACTATACAGTGTAATTAGTTTCAGGTGTACAGTATAGTGATTCAGTACTCCCATACAACACCTGGTGCTCATTACAACAAGTGTACCTAATCCCCGTCACCTATTTTACCCATCCCCCCCATGCACCTCCCCTCTGGTTACCATCAGTTTATTCTCTATAGTTAAGAGTCTCTTTCTTGGTTTGCTTCCCTCTCTCTTTTTTCCCCCCTTTGCTCATTTGTTTCTTAAATTCCACATATGAGTGAAATCATATGGTATTTGTCTTTGTCTGACTTTTTTTCGCTTAGCATAATACTTTGTAGCTCCATCCATGTTGTTGCAAATGGCAAGATTTCATTCTTTTTTATGGGTGAGTAATGTTCCATTGTGTGTGTGTGTGTGTGTGTGTGTGTGTGTGTGTGTGTGTGTGTACTTCATCTTTATCCATTCATCAGTCGATCGACACTTGGGCTGTTTCCATAATTTGGCTATTATAGACAATGCTGTTACAAACATTGGGGTGCATGTATCTCCTTGATGTAGTATTTTTGTATTTTGAGGGTAAATACCCAATAGTGTGATTACTGGATCATAGGGTATTTCTATTTTTAGCTTTTTGAGGAACCTCCATATTGTTTTCCTGAGTAGCTGCACCAGTTTGTTTTCCCACCAGTTTGCAAGAGGGTTCCCCTTTCTCCACATCCTCACCAATACGTATTGTTTCTTGTGTTGATTTTAGCCATTCTGACAGTTGTGAGGGGATATCTCATTGCAGTTTTGATTTGTATTTCCCTGATGATCAGTGATGTTGCACATCTTCATGTGGTCTGTTGGCCATCTGTAGGTTTTCTTTGGAAAAAGGCCTATTTCAAATCCTCTGCCAGCATTTTAATTGGATTTTTAATTTTTGCTGTTGAGCGATAGTTCTTTACATATTTTGGATATTAACCCCTAATCAGATATATGATTTGCAAATCTTTTCTACTGTTGGAATATTGGTTGATGTTAAAAGTGGGTTTATGGGAAATAACAGAATTTCCATTGCTACTTTACCTTCGTTTGTGAGGAAATACGGTTTTTTCATTCCTGTTTTTTCCCATGCGTTAGCCTAAGAATCAACCCTGCTTCTTTGTTTACCAATTTGTCAGGTCGAAGGGCAAGGGCAACCTATAATCCTAGACATTTATAAAGCAAGTACAAAGCTTTTGTGTGTTATACTAATGATTGGAAACAAAGTACCACTCCTTTATTGTCTTTCATATATAGAACCATAATTATGTAAAGTTCAAAATTTATGACTGTCTACTAGTCATCACTTTTCAAACTGTCTGAAATTTCCTACTACTTTCTCCTGCCTTAAAACATATATCTACATAGGATCAGCTCCAGATGACAGTGCTTGGCTTCTTCTCAACTTTCTAGATAGTGTGCCAGCTTTCCTCCCTTACAGCCTTTCCTGCTTACATCTGTGGTTTTCGCTGAAAGTGTGATGAAAACCCTTTGGATCTCTTAGGAAAGGAAACCAAGGCAGAAATAACTGATGAGTCTTAATATGTAGCCCTTGCAGATCTTAATATTTTTTTTTTTTAATTTTTTTTTTTCAACGTTTATTTATTTTTGGGACAGAGAGAGACAGAGCATGAACGGGGGAGGGTCAGAGAGAGGGAGACACAGAATCGGAAACAGGCTCCAGGCTCTGAGCCATCAGCCCAGAGCCCGACGCGGGGCTCGAACTCACAGACCGCGAGATCGTGACCTGGCTGAAGTCGGACGCTTAACCGACTGCGCCACCCAGGTGCCCCAGATCTTAATATTTTAATAGGAGAAATACCTGATACTGGTGAATTAACTTCTAGTGGAATATCCAAGATTAGATTGGTATTGGAAGTTAATGTTCCTTAAAATTACATCCTAGAAGGAAGCCACCTGTTCTCAGCACCAGCTTTTTATGGAGTTAGGTATTTTGTGGTACACCTGTACCTTTGGCTGCTTATTCAGGTACTAAGGTTTGTACCACTTTACTCATCATCCAAATATCGTCTTTAGAAAGAGAGGCAGAATTGGCAGGTATGCAGATTGCTTTATGTATAATGCTGAAGGTGTTGTGACTTTGACTTCACCTGCCAATTCCCATACCCACCCAATTCACAAAAGAATTGGTACCATTTATTATCTATTAAACATTATTAAAAGTTATCAAAGACACTTGTTTCAATGCAGTCACGTTGGGATTTAACCATATTATCAATAGATATGTTCATAGTTGAAAATAAAATTTTTCTGCTGTCCTTCAGATAATAATCTTCCCATTTTGTTTATTTATACCTGTAAAAATCACCTGTTGAGGGAAACTGCTTCTTCACGCTTTTTTTTTGTTTTGTTTTTTTTCTAAACTGTAAAGCCTTTAGAAAAGTAAGTTTTTCTGTACAATATTAATTTTGGTTGTCATATTTTTTTCCCTGTCCAAATCCAGGCTGTATGTTGAATTTTACTTGAATTTTGTAATATGCTAAAGATAGTGTTTTGGCAGAAGTTTCGGGGAAGCTTTACCAAAAAAGTATAATTAAGTTTCTGAACATAAAAATTCAGATTTATACTTTCTGGCTGAAATTTGTGTCCTATATTGGACTTATATAGTGAGCTGGACAAAAAGGCAATTAGTCCAGAAAATGCAAAAAGACCATTATAAATGGTTTTTTGACTATCTGATATTAAGCTTTATAAGAATATTTAGGTGTATTGGTATTTTTTCTGATTGAATTTTGTTTTAGATGCCATTCTAAATATGGTGAATATTGCTGCTAATATTCTGGGAGCAAAAACTGAAGACCTGACAGAAGGTACCTCATCATTTTATGGGTCTTTTAAATCTCTGATACTCAAGGGGTCATTCTCGTTATGAAAATTAATTAATAAGCCAAGCAGTGTGATTTTTCATTTAGAAATAAAGAGATGATGCAAAGGAACTTACCAGTCTTCTGTTATTCATTGTTTATATGAGTTTCACAAATTCTTACAATAAGGATCCTCCTGTCTATATGAAATTCATGAATTTGTTTTTTGACTCTTCCCTGCTGTAGAAGTAATAATTTTATCCCTTATTTCTTTCCTGAGGTTTTGATGCCCCAGTGGTACTTCATGCATGCTTTTCTTTTATTTATCAAACAACTACCCAATTTAGAAGGTGATTTTTTTCCCCTACAGAATGCCAAGTAAGAATGTCAGTAACAAGGAGAAACCATCTTGCTTTTTTTTTTTGCTCTTAGAAAATACTTAGTTCCAAGTGCAAACTTAAAATGACCCATACGTTTCTTTTCATTCTTTTTCGTAACTCCTTTAGGTGTCTAGAAGTCATGTTAATCATATAAGATTACATGAAATTAATAGTCATTTGACTTGCATTAATTATCTGAGAAGTTGAGAAAGTATATGCATTATTTGTAGCTCTGACTTTGTATGATCATTTCTTTCTAAAAGAACTTTTATGGAAGAAAATAAAGTCTGCAGTAGCAAACCTGTTTGACTTTTTTTTTTCTTCCCTGGAAACTAAAGTTCTTTACTTGTTATAGTGAAATATCTTCATGATATAGCTTTTTTAAACTCAACGTGGGTATCTTTCTTAAAATAGGAAATAAAAGTATATCTGAGAATGCCACTGCCACAGCTGCACCTAAAATGCCCGACTTAGCTCCTGTTTCAACTCCTGTTCCATCACCTGAGTAAGTTCTATTGTGATATTAGAGTTCTGTTAAAATGGAGAGCTAAGTATACATAGAAAGATACTTTGGATTTGTGTGTGAAATGATAATCTATAGAAAGCTCTGAATCAGAGGGCAGGCATTCCACAACCACTTAAAATATTGGTGAGTTGCCTTTTGGGTACTGGGAATGCACTTTACTCCAGACCACATGTTTGTTGTTTTGAAATTATGTATTACTTTTATTATTCACAACACTAAATCTTTTCCTTATTACAAATAATTGGCCTAATTCTACAGGTATAGGTTTGAGGACAAATTTTAGAAGCTTGCTTTTATTAAGTTCAAATTTAAAAACACTGATTAAGTATATGTGTTGTGCCTAGAAAGCTATAAAGGGTACCCTGAAATACCTAGAGCGTGATTCTTAAATTACGTGTTTGTCACACAGCAAACTCTTAAGAGTGTTTAGTTTCTTAAATTGAATTTGATAGAGGTCTTTCCCCAGGTTGCAGTGGGGCACTTTGGGCAGGAATATCTGTCATGTAGTTAACATAAAATATCCTCATTTTTTTAGTCTTTTCTACCAAAGATGATTAAGGGTTTTTGCCACCTCTACTTCTTATCTATAACAGATAGGCTCATAATGACTGGATAATTGGGCATTGTTTCTGTAAATTTTGTATATTTCAGTAGATGTACTCTCTCAGAACTCTGCTTAACGGGATAAGATTTTTGAACAGGAATTATGTAACGAAACCTGCAGTGGGTATGGTTTGAGCTGTAATTCCTAAATACCATACTGATACAGAAATGAGATTTTTTGTGCTTTGAAGGGCACAGTGACAAATTTGTATCCTGTGTTCATTCTGAAAGAGACTAAAGATATTTATTTATTGGATGACTAGAGAGAAAATATAGCATTACTTGTCATCGATTCCTAGAAGATACTAAGAAATCTGTGATTGCTAGTTCCAATTTTGTAACTAGGCTTCTTCAGTTAATAACATATAGTATGTCTTTATTTTTCAAAACTAAATGAAACCGATTTCATTTTATATATGTACACACACACACACACACACAGACACACACACACACACACACACACACATGAATGTTGAAAGATACCACATCACACTAATGTAGTAGTTTTTACTTTTCTATATTAGAGTTTGATTTTAATAGATTTTTTTGTATAAAATCTATTTGCTTTTAAATGTTTTTTTTATTTGTTTTAAATTCTTTTTGATGATTATATGGCAATTTCTTTGAAGAAAATAAATGAAAATGAAAGAATCCATGATAGGGTGTCATTGTTGAGTTACTATGAAAAGATGACTGATTTTCTTTTTCCAGGTTTGAGTTTTTTAAAGTATAGCTCCGATTTGAGTACGTACAGATGGTATATAATTTAATTTGTACCAAATTAATTCACTTTAGTTTTTCTCCCTCCCCTTCTTCAGATTCTGTTCATTTTCACTGTCATAATTTATATGGTACATAGTAAGCAGTAGAAGATATTTAGAGATTATATATCTATATATCGTCTATTTAAAGGAACATAATCTAATTTACTGTTTCACTGTCAACAAGATGAAAATCTAGCTTTTTAGGTACTGTTTCATTCCTACCTTTGCTATTGTGATATTAGTCTATTCAAAAACATTTCCTGGCATTCTTAGTAATTTTTCAAAGTAGGAAAATTGTATATGAAAATGTTTCTTTTGGCATTCAAATTGCGTTATTTGAAAAAAAGATTGTACCTTTTGTGCTGTAAGGGCTACACCTGGAAATTCATTATTTTTTTTTCTGGAATGAACCACAGAGATTATAATTTACAACACTGTTCCCACCCGTTCCACCCCACACACTCCCCTGCCTTACATACATACGCTAGGGCTTAGAGATGGGATTGAGTTACAGATGGGGCACTATTATTATTAGCCAAGATTTTCATTAGAGTGATTAAGTATTTGCCTTTAAGTAATAGATAATTAGCCCAGATGATATTAAGATCATTTTGGGGAGTTGGGGAGGGAGGGATGCAGATAATCGTGTGTGTGTGTGTGTGTGTGTGTGTGTGTGTGTGTGTGTGTGTAATGCTACCTTAGAAATCCCCTAATCATCCACAGAAAAATTTTCTTTGAGAAATCTAGCTACCTTTCAAAAGTATGATACCTAAACACAAAGTGCGTTCATAAGTATTTAGAACCTTGGATTCTAGTTCTAGAATCCACGTACAAGCAATTCTTAAATAGATATTTTTAAAAAGTAAGTTTCATTTAGTAAATATGGTCATTTCAGTCATCTGGCTGATCTCTGATAAATGAATGGCCTTTATGTCACCATTTGTGAGTAATACTTCTTTTTATAATGAAAATGATTTGTAGGGAAAAATTCATCCAAAAAAGTTTTCAGTTTCTTCTGTATTTTCAGCCTTCCTCTTATTTTATGAATGAAACATTGATTTTTTTAACGCAATTTTAACTTTAGATTTCTAATTAAAGTGATGTGTAATTACGATACATATTTCTAGGTTTGTAACCACTGAAGGACACATACACGATACAGAGCTATCATCACCAGAGACTCCAAAAGAGAGTCCCATTGTACAGCTAGTTCAAGAGGAAGAAGAAGAGGCAAGTCCATCTACAGTGACCCTTCTGGGTAGTGGTGAACAGGAGGATGAATCATCACCCTGGTTTGAGTCAGAGACACAAATATTTTGCAGTGAACTATCTACAATTTGTTGTATTTCTAGTTTTTCTGAATATATATATAAATGGTGTTCAGTTAGAGTTGCTCTTTATCGGCAACGTAGCAGAACTGCTGTAAAGAAAGAAAAAGATCATCTTGTGTCAGCTCAACCATTACCGCTACCTGCAGAATCAGTGGATGTTTTAGTCTTGCCACCTCCAAGTGGAGAAATGGACAGCAAGAATAATGAAAAGGAAGCTGAAACTATTGTTCCAGGTGACTTAAGTAGTATGCACAAAGGTGATTTGATTAATCACAGTGCAGATGCAATTGAACTTGAACCAAGCCATCCTCAAACTCTTTCTCAATCTCTTCTCTTAGATGTTACTCCAGAAATCAATTCATTATCTAAAATAGAAGTATCTGAGCCTATTAAATTTGAGACAGGACCTACACCATCTCAAGTGATCCCCCTGGAGAGTTCTGTTGAGCTTGTTAATAAAACAGAAAAAAAGTCTGAGAGTTTTAGTTCTATAGAGAAGCCAACTGTGATCTATGAAACAAATAAACTTAATGAAGTAATGGATAATATTGTAAAAGAAGATATAAACTCCATGCACATTATCACAAAGCTATCTGAAACAATAGTGCCACCTGTAAACACTGCTACTATGCCAGACGGTGAAGATGGGGAAGCCAAAATGAACATAGCTGACACACCAAAGCAAATTTTGACTCCCGTTACGGATTCTTCTTCATTACCTGAAGTGAAAGAGGAAGAACAATCTCCGGAAGATGCCCTTTTAAGAGGGTTACAGAGGACAGCTACAGACTTTTATGCTGAACTGCAAAATTCCACAGATCTAGGATACACTAATGGAAATCTTGTACATGGATCAAACCAAAAGGAGTCAGTATTTATGAGACTTAATAATCGTATAAAAGCCTTAGAAGTTAACATGTCTCTCAGTGGTCGCTATCTGGAGGAGCTTAGCCAAAGGTAAGCTTTATCATAATTAGCACAGTCCACTTTGCACTGTGAGGTAAGAGGCATAGTATGATCTGTGACTAGAGGAGGAGAGGATTAATTATCTCATGATATAATAGTAGTCAGTGCCATTTTAGCTGGAGAAAGAAAGTTATTTGGATATTGATCAAGGACTTAAAGAATTGATTTTTAGAAGTACTAAGTGATGTAATATCTATATCTATATCTATATCATCTATATCTATCTATCTATATCTATATATATATATATTAGGGTGACAACAAGTTTGAATTTAATCAGTTTCTCCTTTCTTCTGTTGTTTAACTTTTACTGTTTGGTTCCCACAGTACTCATGGGGACATTATAGTATTATATAACATGTGTATCTATACTGTATATGTAATACCTATATAAACTATGGATGTTGCAGTTCTTTTTTTTTTTAATTTTTTTTTTTTCAACATTTATTTATTTTTGGGACAGAGAGAGACAGAGCATGAACTGGGGAGGGGCAGAGAGAGAGGGAGACACAGAATCGGAAACAGGCTCCAGGCTTGAGCCATCAGCCCAGAGCCTGACGCGGGGCTCGAACTCACGGACCGCGAGATCGTGACCTGGCTGAAGTCAGACGCTTAACCGACTGCGCCACCCAGGCGCCCCTGGATGTTGCAGTTCTTAGTGAAACTAGATAAGATATCAATTAAGAGTTTAAGTAAGTGAAGACTAAAGTGGACTGAACTGGATGATTAGGCAACATTTGCAGTCTTTCATGTCTTAGAATCTTAGTTCTAGTTGTGATAATTTATGCTCTTGTGCTCATAAGTGCCAGTGTGCTTATGCAGTGATTAGAGCCCCAGTCATAGTTCTACTTTTTCCCTGTACTTGTTTGCTCTTTTTTATCCGTTAAGTGTCTGGTTTTCTCAGGACTTCTTTTCCAACATTTTATAAACACCTAGGCAATAAATGTCCAGAGTATCTGAAACACCACCTTTCCCTACTCCTTTTAAATCAAGATGCCTCTAATGAGATGTCACTAAGGTCATCATTCTGTCCCAATGGGTTTCCTCCTAATCCATATATACAATTTATTGGCAAATTGTTTGTGCATGTGCATGCATGCCCACATAGGTAGGTACCTCACACCTGCTTCTCCCTGACCCATCAGCTGCCTTAAGGGAACCACAGAAATTACTAATAATTTTTTTGTTTTTAATTGAGATATAATTAACATTAATTTCAGGTATACAATGTAATGTTTTAATGTTGCATATATTGTGAAATGATCACACATTAAGTCTAGTTACCGTTCACTTACTACATAGTTACAAGATTTTCTTTCTTTGTGATAAGGGCTTTCAAGATCTGTTCTTAGCAACTTTCAGATATACGGTAGAGTATTATTAACTGTAGTCATCATGCTGTACATTACATCCCTATTACTTATTTTATAACTGGAGATTTGTACCTTTTGACCCACTTTATCCATTTCTCCCATCCCCCATCTCCTACCTCTGGCAGCCACCAGTTTGTTCTCTTGTATCTATGTGTTTGAGGGTACTGTTATTATTAGATTACACATATAAGTGAGATCATACAATATTCTTCTTCTGATTCATTTCACTTAGCACAATGCCGTCCGGTTCCATCCTTGCATTTGTGCAAGTGGCAAGATTTCCTTTTTTTATGGCTGAAAAATACATTGTATACAGATACCACATTTACTTTATCCATTTATCCTTTGGTGAACACTTAAGTTGCTTCCATGTCTTGGCTATTGTCCATAATGCTGCAGTGAACATGGGAGTGCAGATATCTTTTCAGGTTAGTGTTTTTCATTTTCTTCAGATAAATACTCAGAAGTGGAGTTACTGGATCATATAGTACTTCTATTTTTAATTTCTGAGGAACCTCCCTACTGTTTTCTGGAGTGGCTGTACCAATTTACATTTCCACCAACTGTGCACAGGGGTTCCCTTTTCTCTACATCCTCACTAGCACATGTTATTTCTTATATTTTTGGTAATAGCCATACTGATAGATAAGAGGTGATCTCTCATTGTGATTTTGATTTGCATTTCCATGATGATTAGTGATTTTGAGCATCTTTTCATGTACTTGTTGTCCACCTGTATTTCTTCTTTGGAAAAAGGCCTATTCAGATCCTCTGCCAGTGTTTTAATTGGGTTGTTTAATTTTTTGCTATTGAGTGGTAGAAGTTCTTTATGTATTTTGGATATTAACCCCTAATCAGATACATTGTTTCCAGATTTTTTATCCCACTTGGCAGGTTGCCTTTTCATTTTGTTGATGGGGTTTTTTGCTGTGCAGAAGCTTTTTAGTTTGATGTGGACTCCATGTGTTTATTTTTGCTTTTGTTGTCTTTGTTTTTGTTGTCAAAGCTGAAAAACCATCACCAAGATCAGTGTCAGGGAGCTTACCACCTGTGTTTTCTTCTGAGTTTTATGATCTCAGGTCTTACATTCAAGTCTTTAATCCATTTGAGTTACTTTTTGTAGATGGTGTAAGAGTGCGGTCCACTTTCATTCCTTTGCCTGTGGGTGTCCAGTTTTCCCAACACCATTTATTGAAGAGACTGTTCTTTCCCCATGGTATATTCTTGGTTCCTTTGTCATAAATTAATTGAACAAAAACGTGACTAATCTTGGATAGCAGTGAGATGCATAGAATTGATGTTAAGGTAGCAAATAGCTCAAGGAGCTTCTTTATTTTACTTTTATAAGTGTTCCAGGCCTCAACAAAGTCATTTTCAAAAAAGTAGATTTATCTCAAATATTGAAATCAGAAGTGTGTTTGCAGTAATAAATTAATAAATAAGAAATTAAAGCTAATTTAAATCATTTCTTACTCCACAGGTACCGAAAACAAATGGAAGAAATGCAGAAGGCTTTCAATAAAACAATAGTAAAACTTCAGAATACTTCGAGAATAGCAGAGGAGCAGGTTGGTCATCTTCAAGCCTTATTTACTTTTTGTATAAATTTCTTCCGAATTCTGTAGGCCCTTGCTGGTAAGAAGAATAAGTAGTATTTGTTCATTTCTTCACCCTGATAGGTGTTCATTTCTTCCCCTTAAGCCTGTTAGAGGATGTCATGTTTGGGAAATTACTAGCTATTAGCATCTGCATCTCTCTCCTATAGAGAGAATTTTCTTGAGCATTGTTCCTATTACATTTCAAAATTTGTGTGTGTGTATGTGGTAGAAGTGCAGTGGACTTTGTTAAACTCAAATCTTCTGTGGTTTTCTACACAGACAGTCTGACTGATTGCAGATGAGAACAGCTGTGTTGCTTCTTTTTAATCCTCATATCTTTTCATTTCTTTTTTTCTCTATCTCTTGCCTGGAGCTATGCATTGATGCCATAGAATAGTGGCCATTGCCTTGTCATGTTGATTTTAAGGAAACAGTTTCAGTATTGCAGTATACAGATGTTTATTAAATGTTTTTACAGTGTGTTACTACAATGAAGAAACACTGTATTTTTCTAAAGTTTATCCCGGACTAGGGGATGATGAGATGAGGTGAGGAGGCCTGAGGTTTCAGAATTTAGTAGCACCTTACTCTCAGTTCTTGACACATTACAATTGTGGTTCCATACAAATTTCCTCCTTTAGCGGTTTTTTTTCATTGAAGTTTGAGTTACTTACGTATTTTGAATACAAGTCCTTTATTAGAGATATGCTTTGCAAATATTTTCTCTCAGTTCATTATTTGTTTTGTCATTTCTCTTAAAAGTATCTTTTGAAGAGCAGAAGTTTTTAATTTGTTGAAGCCTATTTACCCATTTTGTCTTTGCTCTATAAAATCTTACCTCAACCCAGAGTCATAAAGATTTTTTTCCTCTCTTTTCTTCTAAAAGTTTTATAGCTTTTGTTTTACATTAGGTTTATGATTGATTTTAATTTTTACGTGTTGCAAAGTAATGATCAAAGTTATTTTTTGGTGGGGATGGGGATGGAAAAACATGAATATTCCTTTATTCCTTTATTTTGTTCTGTTCATCTGTCTTTATGCTGATACCAGACTGTTAACTATTACTGTATCTTTATAGGAACTTTTGAAGTCACATAGCGTGAATCTTCCAACTTTGTTCATCTCTTCCAAAATTGTTTTGGCTAATACAGATTTTAGAATCAGCTTGTCAATTTCTACAAAAACAACATGTTTACATTTTAACTGGGATTTTGTTGGAATTTATAGATCAGTTTGGAGAATCGACATCTTAACATACTGTCTTCTGACCCGTGAACACAATATTTATTTAGTTCTTCATTGATTTTAATGGTTGAAATGATTTCCCATCTGTATTTTCTCTTTACGATATATATAATATCTGTGCCTTATGTCTCAAAGACTTATTTAAATACTTTTAAATAATTTGTGTATTATTAACAGTATTAAAGATCAGTCTTGATGAGAAGTGTTAATCAACTTACTAAATTTCAAAGTTTTTTTTTCTTTAAATGTTTGTAACTGTCAGGAATTTATCAGTATTTGTCAAATGTGAGTCAGAAGATACAGTTTAATGAATTACCTTTAGCATCTTAAAAAGATGGAAGTAGGATAGAAAGTACCAGTGTATCACAGTAAGGGAAGTGAAACTTTTTGTTACAGTTTTATACATCCATCTCCCCCAAGCAACCCCCACCGCCCCCCAACACAGTTGAGATTTAAAATTTATTTAAATCTAATTTTTTATTGTTTTATTTTTTGGAGAGAGACAGAGACAGAGCACAGGCAGGGGAGGGGCAGAGAGAGAGGGAGACACAGAATCCGAAGCAGGTTCCGGGCTCTGAGGTGTCAGCACAGAGCCCAACTGAGGGCGCGAACCCATGAGCTGTGAGATCATGACCTGAGCCGAAGTCAGATGCTTAACTGACTGAGCCACCCTGGTGCCTCGAAAAACTTATTTAAATCTAAATTCGAAAAACTTACTCTGGAATGATAAATGGTTATATGGCTATTTCATACAACATCCTACAGAGTGTTAGATTTCTTTTACTTTCTGTCCTGTTTTCCTCTTCCCCAAATTCATTAGTAAGTTGAAATTTTCAGTACAGTGTCCCTAATGTAGGTTCCTGACCATGAGTATGATGCATATTTCCCTAAAATATACATGCAAATGATATTTTAAAAAAGACATGTTTGTTGATTATCTAAGCTGGAAAGATAGGTGTTTTGATTGATTTATTTTCATTGGGGATTAGTTTAGCATTGACAAGCTAATCAGTTGTGGGTTTTTGATTATGTGACATCATAAGTTCCATCCTAATGTGCAATAAAATAAACTTTTATTTTTTTATTTATTTTTTTTTTTTTTAAAAATTTTCTTTCAACGTTTATTTATTTTTGGGACAGAGAGAGACAGAGCATGAACGGGGGAGGGGCAGAGAGAGAGGGAGACACAGAATCGGAAACAGGCTCCAGGCTCCGAGCCATCAGCCCAGAGCCTGACGCGGGGCTCGAACTCCCGGACCGCGAGATCGTGACCTGGCTGAAGTCGGACACTCAACCGACTGCGCCACCCAGGCGCCCCTAAAATAAACTTTTAAAAGCTTGCTGTGAGCCTGCTTTATATACAAAAACATTTTTCAAAAAATTTTCAACATGTTTTTGTGCTTTGGTTGAAAAACACGTATTTGATGAAATGTTTTGCATATAGCTGAGTATATGCTTGTTTATACATATGGAGCCCAAATTAACTTGAAAAGTATTTTATTAACTTCTATTAGACAGTATTCTACATGGTAGCAGTAAATGGCAACATGATTTCTTGGAGGGAGAGGGGAAGGAGGGTTCAACAATCTCAGATTCTTTTTTTGTTTTGTTTTTTTTTAATTTCTGGTCACACTTTACCATATTCATTCATTAAAAGCTTGCTATTAATATGGTTTTTTTTAATTCTTGAGGAACTTAGTAATTTTTCCAGGTGTTTTTACTTGAATTTACAGCATATTTAAAGTACAGATGAAACTTGCACACACCCAAAAATAATACTTATTTCTTTCTTTATCATAGGATCAGCGGCAAACTGAAGCCATCCAGTTACTACAGACACAATTGACCAACATGACACAGCTTGTTTCAAACCTATCGACAACAGTAGCAGAATTACAACGTGAGGTAATTGTTATTGCTGCTGTTGTAAGACAAACTGCATATGTAGAGGTTGTCATAAAGACAAGATTCTTAAGAATGTAGTGTCTAAGATCTTTAACCAAACAAAATTGTCATTTGTAGAGAACTTGTTCACAACACCAGAATGTGGCATTTTATAAAAATTTTTTTTTAATATTTATTTTGAGAGAGAGAGTACAAGCGCAGGTGGGGCAGAGAGAGAAGGAGACCCAGAATCCGAAGCAGGCTCCAGGCTCTGAGCTGTCAGCACAGAGCCCGACATGGGGCTCAAACCCACGAACCTCAAGATCATGTCCTGAGCTGAAGTTGGATGCTTAACCGACTGAGCCACCCAGGGGCCCCCAGGATGTGGCATTTTAAAGTTT